TTGCAAATATACACATAAAAAATGACATTTTTACAATTTTCTATATAAAATTAAATCACGTACCCATCATCGAAAAGTACTCTTCTGCTCAATTAACATGTTGGGAGAAATTTGAAAAATAAAACGTGGTGGTATTTTCATAAATATCGTGTGTGTTTTGTAATATGAAAGAAACTATATTATACAAAGTAATGTTATAATTTTTTTTTAAATTTCATTTAACATTATATCAAAAATTATATTTTTCAAAATTTCTCTATAATCTATATTATTTTAAAAATCTACTCTGTAAAAACATGACATATAATCAAGTGATAGTTGTCTAATGATAAAAAAACATATGTAAAAGAGGTAGATATTTTGAATCTGAATTCGATGCTCCATGAAAACATTTTCACAAAGGTTTCATGTTTTATACTCATTAAAAATCTCGGTGATTGAGCTATTCGACGACTATATTCGTCGTGAAAGATTAATCGGATGGTAAAAGTTTGAATCATCTCGTAAATTCGTAGTTATTAAAAAATGATATATTTACCAAAATACTAAGGCATATATCTTTCAAATTTTCCTTCAAAATTATGTGACTCCAACAAAATAAAGTAATAAACCCCGATAAAAAATGGGATTTTCACATGTTTATAAGTAAAGCTAAAGTGAGAGTGAGAGTGTGTGTGGACCTACCCTCGCCGGGAAAAAATCCCTTTTTCCTCTGTTCCTTTTTTTTGTTTTTTCACAGAGTCTCTTCGCTACTCTGTTTTTTCTTTTTTCTTACTCATCAGAAAAAAACTTTTTTTTTTTCCTCTGACATGGGAAATTGTCAGGCGATAAACGCGGCAGTTCTAGTTCTACAGCATCCCGGCGGGAAAATCGACAGGTACTACGGCTCTGTATCCGTAAGCAAAGTCATGGGTATGTATCCTGGCTACTACGTCTCTCTCATCATTCCTTTGACTGAGAACGAAGAAGACACGAATATTCCGCAGACGTTGAAGAGTGACGATAAGAAACAGAGGAAGACTGTGAGGTTTACACGTGTCCAGCTTCTCCGTCCGACGGAGAGTCTTGTCCTTGGTCACGCTTACCGTCTCATTACTTCACAAGGTTCGACCTTTTGGCTTTTCTTTTCTTATGTCTACTCTGTTTTTCGAAATTTATGATTCATTGGTTATTGTGATTTTCTTCCAGAGGTTATGAAGGTCTTACGGGAAAAGAAATGCGCGAAGATGAAGAAGCACCACACTGAGACGACGACGGTGAAGAAGCTGTCCGAAAAGAAAGTTCCGGTAGATTCCTTACTGATGCGTTTGTGTTTCTTGGAAAAATCAAGATTTTACACAAACTGATGTTAATGGTTTTGTGTGTGTTTTTGGCAGGAGAAGAAACAAGGGAAGCAATTTCGTGTCTTAACGAATTCAATTTCTTCCCTAAAGTCCAAAACATGGAAGCCATCTCTTCAGAGCATCTCTGAAGCTACGAGCTGAAATGTTTTTAGTTTTTGTTCTAGCTGTCGAGGCGAGAAACAGTTTCGGAATCTCGAGGAATAGATCCGAAACTCTACTGAATAAATTTTGAATCTGATCCTTTTTTTGTTTTTTTTTCTGGTTATAAGAGATGAAGTCTAGATCAAGATGTGAAGAGATATAAGTACAGAGAAAGCTCAAGAAAGCCACGAAGAACATAGCTTCTTTCTTTTTTAATCTCTATCTTCGATGTACATATTTTCGCAGATAGAGAAATCGATCGAAGTATGTAAGACCACAGTGAGGTTTTTGTTGATGCAAACTCGATGTAGAAGAAAGAGCTTTTGAAACTAAGAATAATAACAGAGCTTTTATGATCTTTCTTTCTTGTTTCCAGTCTTTTGGACAAATCGACATCAAAAGGTTGTTTCTCTGATCAGTTATTAACTGGCATAGTAGTCTTCAATCAACAAAACTAACAGATCTCAAGTATTTTCACTTCTTATTTGGTACATCGGAAGAATCTATTCGAACATTACACGAATCACCAGGGAAACTAGATGATGCGACAAAAGATTATAAGAGAGCTTATAAAACACCGAAATCTGCAAAATTCATAGTTTTACAGTGACATTTCTATCCTCTGATACATCACTACTGGACTAAATAACTCGACGGATTATATTTTGATGCTTTTGAGGTTTGGTGTTACTAATCAGTACCGGTCCATTCCTTCCAGTCATTGTCTACATGATCCTGAGCCCATTTAATAGCTGCTCGTGCGGCTTGTGGACCTCCAGGTAATTCCCTTTCATTGAGAGTATCTGCCATGTCGATGAAGGGTATGACCAAGAGTGTTCCAGGTCCTCCATACTCACTGCGCAAGAACGTCCCGAAGATCTGTCAAGAATCACAATGGCGAAAACCGTCAACTCCTTAGAGTTTTGCTGAGAGATACAACAGACTTGAGAAGCTAAAATAAAAACTTTTTGCTGAACTTTCAACATAGCTTAGACTGAAAACCGCTCTTCTACATTCTGAACTGAGTAACATGACCCTCACAATTCTAGACATCTAGCTTGACTTGTATAAGACCACAAAATCACTCCCCAAGAATTTCAGAAAAATTGCAGCATAATCACACTTTCCTGACCAGGCATATTCATTTGACATACTAAAGTGAGAACATTTGAGATACCTCAGTGCAGATTCCGACAATTTCATCAACAGAGCCATCAAAAAGATCCCTCCTGGATAGTTTCTTTGCCATATGCTCCCTAAATTTCTCAGTCTCCTTCATCCATCACCCATCAACTAAATTCAATCATCCACACAAACAAAAAACCCATAAAAACTGAGTAATTAAAAGAAGAGTAAATCAGCTCACAGCTTCGGCGAATTCGGGTATGGGATCCGGGAACTTATACTCTGCAGCTCTACATACAAACCCTCTTCGTGAAAAGGAAGAAAGACAAAAGTCCGTCACTTTGGTCCTAGAACTCCGTTTAAGAAACCGGGTCGATTTGATCCCACAAAACTTCGCGGCTGGTGATGAGAGATTGGAGATGGTCGGAAGAGCACAACGAAAGGAAGATGAAGGGAATTGAAGCGGAGAAGAGAAAAGGGCTTCATGTAAAGAAGCCATTATTAGTACAGTTTCCTTTCACTCTTAAACCTTATCTTTTTCTCTGCGACTACATTTGGGGTTTTAGCCAGGTTGAAATAAGAAAACTAAAAAAAAATGGGTTTACTTGTGTAATAAAAAAGTCAGGGGGTGAAAATAGAAGAAATTAAAAGTAATGAGGGGTGAAAAGGAAAAAAAAAAGGGAACCTGTCAGACAACCGTGCGACCACCCCGAGAAAGGTTAGACCCTCGCCGGGTAGCGATCCTCTACAGGTCAGACTCAGAGAGCCCTAGCCGTCAATCACACTCAGATCGCACGGTCATTATTCATCATCCAGGTTTAAGGGCCTGTCTCCTTAGAAATCAAGGATACAGAGGTACGAGCCTATAGAACTGATCCTGTTCAAGTAAGGTCGTGACCATTGCTACTCTCTGGTCATATATAAACAAGACATATCTTCTATGTGTTTCCGATGTGGGACTCTTTATATTCTCCGCTTACTA